GCTATATCCTCAGCACCTTGTCCTCAGATTCCCTCACACTTTGACTTTTCATCAGAGCTAGAGCCAAGCAAGACTACACAGCTCTTCTTGCTTGTGTGTCTGGGTACCGTTATGTTAGACTCAAGGACTTTTCAGCTGCAGCCGAGGCATGGCTCATGAGTAGCTGCACAATTGCCGGCTTCCCAAGAAGGGCTCAGCTCCGTGAGTGAGTGAGTGAGCCGAGGCTTGGCACGGTTCGCTTCAGTTCGGAATGTTTTTTTTTCTTCTCTTGTTGCACTGATGAGCATAGGGCTAATTTCTCAGTTTCATGATCATTTTACAGACGGTAGGACTCCTTGGACGGGTGATCAGCTCGTCGAAAGCCCTCTACCTTAACACAGGATAACACAAACAGAATAAACGCATACACACATCGAACATCCATGCCTTGTGTGGAATTCGAACCCACAATCCCGGTTTCTGAGCGAGCGAAGACAGTACATGCCTTAGATCGCTCGGCTACCGTGACCGGCTCGGAATGTTTGTGCTTTGATAATTCTCACGTCGAATTCATTCTCCTGTTCATGCTTGTATTTAGGCTCGTCTTGACTGATGCCACCCTGTGTTTAAATCGTAAATTTGTACTTAAAATGCTGTACTGTACACATTGCACGCAGACACACACGGCCGCATTCACTGAAGGCTTAATTAAGGTGTCTGGGAATACACGATGAAATTAAGAACATATTATATTATGAGTTATCTTCTGTTATCCTGAATCCTATTTTAAATACCTAAAAAATATGTTAGAAATTATGATTTTATTAATTTCTGCCTTTCAAGCGTTTTGTAAAGAGTAAGTACAACGCCGTATGTGTACATCGTCAAAGCCGGAGGTCGTATGCAATATTTCGCAACAAATTGTTTTTTTTTTACAGCGAGGAATTGTTAGCCCCACATCCAAAACCNCCCAGAAAAAAAAGTTGAGAAGCCACCCATTGTCGCCTGTTTGTAACTACTTGTTCAATAAGAATATATTCTCAGCGGCCCTCCATATCTTGAGGCCGTCAGCTCCATCCGCAACCCGTGGACGTACCATGCCGTGGTGAAAACGGACCCACTTAACATGGCTGGGTTGGTATAGATTAGATTGATCTGGCTCATGATAGGGACCAGTGATGGCATCTTGTGAATATGGTAATTAACCTTCGGGTATATAGGGGCACGCTGTAACGTAGTTGGTTGTGACACTATGCTACAAGCTGTATGGTCGCGGGATTGAATACCTGTGAGGTCACTGGATTTTTCCACTGACCTAATCTTTCCAACCCCAATATGGCCCTGGGCTTAACTCGGCCTTTAACAGAAATGAGTACCAGGAATAGGAGTAAAGGTTGGCCGGCGCGTAGGGCTGACAACCTCACCGCCATATGTAAGCCGATTCAGAAAATGTGGGAGCCTTGACGTCTCACAACTCTGTGGGCTTCCACGGGCTGTTACAGGGATAGATATACTTTTCTTTTAATAATATTCTGTGAATGGTACAGATTATGAAGCCCCAAGTATGTATTTCTTCCAGCTTGTTGAGAGTTCCTCTTCCTGATGCCCAGATGGAGTGACCATATAAGAAAAGAGGATAACACTGGCGGGGCACAGTGGGAGGGAGAGATTGGTGTGCATCCAGAAATTTGCTCATTACAATTGAAATGTAATTTAGTATAGTTATTATTTTCGAAAGAGATAGATGGGTAGAGGTGGGTATATAGACAGATTTTTTTCCCCATTGCCGCTACAGCCCTCATTTGGGCCTAGGCCTACCTCCATGAAACTCTCCGTTTCACTTCGGTTTACTAGATCTTACACATACGGTAGGACTCCTTGGGCGAGTGATCAGCTCGTTGCAAGGCCTCTACCTGTAGACAAACACAGAAAAACGCACACAAACATCCATGCCCTGAGTAGGATTCGAACCCACGATCCCGGCTTCCGAACGAGCGAAGACAGTGCATGCCTTAGACCGCTCGGCTACCGTGACCGGCTATATAGACAGATAGATGTATGTATATAGATAGATAGATAAACACACAAGCGGAAGGATTAAGCAATACAATGATGGAGTAATTGTTTTTTTATTGATTAATAGATGAGTAGGTACGTTGAAGAACTGATAGCGTTGAAGGCACAAAGGATCAAAGAAACAGACAAATGTAGAGACTGAGGAATGTATAATCAGGGATTTGGATATTTTGTTGGATAGTCAGTTAATTGGACAGACACAGGGTTAATTTATTTAGTTTATTTATTTAAGAAGGAATGTACAGTGTGATAAGCCGTATCATAAATACATCCTGTTTCAAAGATTGTGTAAGATTTGAAGTTTTCACGGCGGTGACTATGAAGAATGCCGTCTTCTGGGATGTGGCGCTGTGTAAATCTTGATCTTCACACATGATCTACACAACGCCACATCTCGTAAGACCGCATTCTTCACCATACATTGTATTCTTGTAGCGACATGTGTTAGTCCGAGCTGATGAACAGTTTGTACGTGAAAATGACTAAAGCATTTTCTATTGAAGAATTTTTTTTTTTTTTAGGAAAGCTGATGTTTGTGTTGTATAGTTGTGTCGACTTGGCATCTTGCACCGAGGAAAGAAATGTGGTCACTTCTCCAGGTCAGTCACCTGTGTATAATGCAGATGTTGGGTGATGCAATTTACATTGCAAACATTTGTTCAGGAATATAATTCCCAGTTTGACATTGGGTCTAAGAAGAGACGCATCCATTTTCGCGTTACGTTACATTTTGCACCGAAGAATCGGACTATACGTTTACTTTCGCCGTGCGGCAACTTCTTCTACATAGCTGTTATGCGTGAAGCCTATTCCTGCCTTTGAAGGTTTTTTATCAGAAAAATGTAATATGTTAAATTTTCACATTAAGTTAGTCTCATATATTTATATTGAAGAATGGAACATATTGTTGATGATAGGCAGTCTTAAGATAAATTGTGTTAAATCAATATTTTATCTGTGATAAAAATATTTCACCTCAAGATTTCCATTTCGACGTGGATTAAGTAGAAGCCAGGGTAACGTAGTCGGTATAGCAACTGGCTACGGGTTGGACGACCGAGGATTCGGAGTTCGAGTCCCGGTAGGTTCAAGAATTTTCTCCAAATCGTCCAGACCGACTCTGGTCCACCCAACCCTCCTATCCAGTGGGTACCGAGGGCTCTGTAAAGCGGCAGGGGCGTGAAGCTGACCACTCACTTCCAGCTAGTGCCGAATTCAAGAAAATGTGGATCTATACATCCACTCCCCCATACACCTTCATGGGGTCAGTGCTTAAATTCGTTGAGCACATGGACATCTTTACCTTTTTTTACCTTACGTGGATTAAGTAAATTCTTAATACGCTTTATTATGAATAGTATTCGATATGCATATGATGTCAATGTAAATACAATGTATCTTATATATTCTGAACTAATTAAAGCGCTACTATGGTATGATTATCGAATCGTTCGGATTGTTGGATTTCAGATAAAAAAATCGTTTTTTCATTTGTTTCATTCTGGTCGGTCACACTAACAATATTATAAAAAGTTAAACAGTTCCGTCCAGTGTGACTGGTGAAGAATTTTCTTATTTCATTTCTTCATGCCCCTCACGCCCCACATGCCCCCGTCAAGAGAAGTAATAAGAAATAGGACACGAACCTGCTTGGTTTATAAATTGTAACAAAATCTTAACAAACCAATTACAAAAATTGTAATATATTAAGACAGCTGCTGTAGTTGTAAAAACTTTAGATTTCATATCCAATCATATATTATCAACATTATATGTACGTTTTAATGCTCAGAACATATACTGTAATAGTAGCTTCCGACTGTATTGATGTATCTCTGATGACGGACTTTAAGGACCGAAACATGTAAGGGCATGAAGAATTGAAATAAGAAAAATCTTCACCAGTCACACTGGACGGAGCTGTTTAACTTTTTAGAATTCGGTTTTTTGTTAACATTATTTATTTAGAAGATTTATGGATACAGTTTATGTATAAACAACGACCGAAAGCTGAGGATGTTCGACTACACGCCGAGCTCGGGGCAAGCGGTAACCGGGTTACAGCTCTCACCGCCCACAAAAGCAGGTCCATTCACACACAATGTCATGTTTCACAGGAATTCATTTGTACTGCAAGGACGCAAAAGAATCATATTACAATTTTAATATTTGGTGGTGCTTTTCTTTTGTGGTACTTCAAGTCACTTTGGATTGCCGAGTTTTCACTGTACTTCGAATTAGAAATTACAGGTATGGTTTACTGAGATAAATTTCCTCAACGGTAACCTTAACTGTAATTTAATTTGAAATGTTGGGAGGCAAATTATTAATGTTCATTACAGTCTTTCATTTCTTCAAACTCTGTTTTAAAAGTCCTACTTTTGCGTCATGTGTGGGGGTCACGCGGTAGCGTAGTGGTTGCGGCACTATGCTACAAGCCGGAAGGTCGCGGGTTCAAGTCCCGATTAGGTCATTGGATTCTTTTCAATTGACCTAATCCTTCCAGCCGCACTATGGCCCTAGGGTCGACTCAGCCTCTATCAGAAATGAGTANAACTGTCAACCCTACCGCCATCTTTGAGCCGATTGTCTAGATAATGTGGGACCCTCAACGTCTCACACACCTATGGGCCTTCACGGTCTCTTACAGGGATAGCTTTACTTTTTTACTTTACTTTTGCGTCATGTAAAACGTAAAGTAAAATTTATAACTTTAAACTAGTTACATAATATTACAGATTTATTTCTGTTATTGTCTTAGTGTTTCTGCGTTATAAATATGTATTTTAGTAATATTTAGAATTTTTTGTTTATGCCTTTGAGATCGATAGGAGCGTGTATTAATAGACACAGAACTGAATATAGATTAACAGTTCTCTTTATTAAATACTGTCCTGAGGCATAATTTTTCGTTGATTCAGAAATATCGATTTCATTATAACATATTAATTTAAATTTCTAATGTTTATTGATCAATCGACACACATAAAGCCAGTTTTAGTTTCCGGTTACATAACTTCTTGTTGAGAAACAATCCTTAGGGGACAATCACAAAGGACACGGCCTGAACACTGTGCAGGCGGCGTCCAATGTGAGGCCGTCACGTGGAGATTGTGTAGCGGTATTCTTAAAGAAATAAAAAAATCCTCCATTGAATATATATCCTTCCTGTCATGCCGCACATTTTTATAACGTCGATTCACAAACAACGCCCACATCTATTCACTCAATAACGTGATTTTACGTAAAACGTGCTAGCTACTATTTAGTAGCTTATGTGTAGCCAATATATTAACAACAATTCAGATACGAAAATAAATAAAGACGCCATTAACATGTTCTTTCGTCGCAGACACAGGTACTGATGAAACAGGATGAATGCCTGCCATCTTCAGGCTCAGAGGGCCATTCTAGAACTCATGATCATATGAGGACAGGTGAGCATCAGTTTCCATACACGTAACGTTTCAAGGCGCGAAAGATCCATTACAGTTGCCAGCATCGCCTTTCTTCACTTGCTTTTCCACACAGCTCGTATTTCTCGACCTGAAACATATACGCTTACATCTAATTCTATGTTGGTATCCTCATTTCAAGGCGACAACAGAACCTGAAGGTTCAACCCTGTGTACCAATCCCCACCGCTGGACACCATCCTGATCCTGTTCCATTCAAATCCTATCCTCACAACGTATTTCCGATCTTAAATGTTATCCTACCGCCTTTTTTTTTTTCTTTCGAGTCTTCCAAAATTATTTTTCGAGTATTCCCCCCCCCCCTTCCAAAAAATTATGTATTTGTTACTCGACTTATTCGTCGTAACAAAATAATCAGCTCATATCGTCTTTCCACAATTTACTACCCTAATAGTAATATTCTTTTTAACTGGCTCTACAGCCCCCTTGGGTCCTGGTCTCCGATTTTTCGGTTTCGTTTTCATTTTACAGACGGTAGGACTCCTTGGACGAGTGATCAGCTCGTCGCAAGGCTTCTACTTAAACACAGTACAACACAAACACAGAATAAACACATATACATACCAAACATCTATGCCCTGTGTGGGATTCCCACCCACGATCCCGGCTTCCGAGGACGGAACATGCATTAGACCGCTCGGCTATCGTGACCGACTGAGAGTAATAGGTAATTTGTATTAAATTAAGGCATAACTCGTTATGTAATATCCTAAACTCACTCACATCATCCTTCCTAGGTCGAAATATTTTCCTGAGGATTTTATTTTTGCTTTTTTAGTATATTATTCTTCTTTCAAATTGAGAGTTCATCTTCCACGCCTATAAAGGACAAGTAGTGAAGGTGTTGCACTGTATGGATGTAGATGGATTAACAGTTATTATTATGAATAATGACAATGATATAAATATTACACTCTTATCTTAATTTTATCATGATCCTCATTGAAATTTTTATCGTTCATGCATTCTTAAGTCATTTAATTGTAATTACATGACTTTGTTGCAATTTATGGCCTCATATCACTTTCATATATTTGTTTCTGATTGTAAGTCTTTGTTATTGATTTCTGAACCCTAGAACTGAGCTCTGACTTAAGGCTGGCAGCCTCACCGTCCTCTGTGAGCCGGTTGTCTATAGAAAATGTGGGAGTCTCGACGTCTCAGAACCCTATGGGCCTGCACGGTCAGTTAGAGGGATAGCTTATTTTACGCTTGAAAAATAATGACGAAAAAGACTATGAGATAAGTACACGTTATGTGTCAAGTACCTGGCTAACAGCATATAAAATATAAATAATATATTGAATTGCAAGTGGAGTAGATGAAAGATATGAGACAATTCGGAAGGAAAATGTGAATGGAAAGAAAAACTAGAATGAAGAAGAGAAGAATAAGTATACTGACGAGGGAAGAGGGCATTAGCAGAAGAAGAAGTGAAAAAGAAGAAACAGAATATTGAGGCCTAGAAGAAGGAGAATGGGACGAACAAAATGAAATACGGAGGATCGCAGAAACGAAGAAAGGAGATAAACGAGATAAAGTAGAAAATTATAGATAATCTCCCAATTTTTATTTCGAGACAATCTGAAAGTCTACTGCTTGCCGTAACGTATTTAGCGCCGTTGTAGTGTGGCAACTTCTTCGGCATTCAAGTGAGATGTGTTGCCTATCGACACAGCAGGCGCCATAAAAATTTCTTAGATAACCGAAAGAACATTTGGGCGGGGGGGGGTAAGGCATTAGGATCCGTTTCGTTTGTCTGGTTCTTCCATATACCCCAGGGTATATCCAGTGATACTTTATCCGTCTTTTTGCTATTATTGTCTACACCGAAAGAAAATACCTTCTCGGCGGCGAATGCATTTCTACCCTGACGAATAGAATTTGACAAATTTTCTTGCCCGATTAGATGTAGTTCACTGTATAAATGACGACGCTATAAATTTCGCCACTGATTGGCCCCTATATCCATTACATTATTCTAAAATTATTTGTTAGTGTCCCAAATGAATGGAAGACCTGAATAACTAAGCAATGTTTAAACCAGCTCTGTACTCGCAATTAAAATTTACGAGGTCCTAACAGCGGTGCTTATTCAGATAACGGCCTTCTGGACTCTGACAACTTATGCTCTTACAGTCGAAAATATCTATTTTTGATACCTTCACAGATGACGTGTGACACAAGGCCCTCGAATATAAATTGCTCTTATTCCTTGGTTTTAGAAACACTTTCATGTTTTTGCACCGTAGTCTTCTTTTGAGTCTCTTTTTTTTTTAGTTCTTTGGATGGCGTGAGACCCAGTCCACTTGGTACGTCGGCCACTAACTGGCCTGTTGTACCAGTCCGGTATGATAGATGATGATGATTGTGGAACATTCGGTGGAATGAGAATTGACAGGGAAAAGCGAAGTACTCGGAGAAAACCTGCCCTAGTGCCACTTTATCCACCACAAAACCCGCATGATCGAACCTGGGTCGCCGCTGTTCAAAGCTTGCGACTAACTGTCTGAGTTGCGGCACGGCCTCTTTTGACACTTACTTTAACAATAAATAAATGAAGTCCATTATCTGTTGAATAATATTACATATGAATACGCTTCTGACTGTGCCCTTCACGGCCACTTTGATGGTATGTGGATGAGGCAAGTTACGAGTCGAGGGATCGGGGAAGTCCCGTCCTGGGTATTGCATCAGAAGCATGAATCCAGACTCAACTTGCTATTTGTATGACTAAATACTGTGAATCAAATATGCAGCATATCCTAATACGAAAAAGAAAATTTGTATACACACGACGATGATTGGAAATTTGAACATAAAATTAAAAAAAAAATATGTCGTAAACATTTTAAAAATAAACTATGCAGCATAGAGATCTTCGAAAGTATTATGCTTATACGTAAAATAGGCAAAATATGCATTCATATGCATCATCAAACTATGTCTAAAATTTAGGAAATTAAGTAATTCATACATGTATCCCAATGAGCATACTTTTTGGTTGCAAGAAAGAAATACGCATTTGCATTAAAATCCGATCCCTAATAATAACATCTGGCAATAGCATGTCTCAGAATTTTGCAATACGCAGTCAACCAAATGGTGTAGACTGATTTCGTCTGCCATATCTGCTCATATTTTCCTTTCTTGGGAAGAAAATACAGGGTGTCTACAATTCCGTGGCCCTTGTCGAGGGTTTATTTCCACCTGAACACAGTAGCTTATGTCAGCTTTCCCCATATCCGTCTGTACCTTGGCAACTCCTCTCCTTCCTGCAGGGTGGCCACCATGGGCCTGTTACCCGTCTCGGGCAGGAGCAACACGCACAGACCGCCCAGCAGTCCAAAGGCCCCTAACACACCCATCGGCACGCGTTCGTCCACCCCGGACTGAAAATAAATTAGTGCAAATCAATTTGGTTGATTCCTTCATTCGCCAAGTTGTAGGCTAGAACATTTTCTACAGAAACAGAGGACACTGTCGTGATTAATTCCCATAGTTTATAAATAAATGTTCAGCGGCAATACAAGACTCCATGTTAACTCTCCAAATTGCCAACAAAGATCAAATAATCGATTCTCCTTGTCTGAAATATCCGCCATTTTGTATGTCACTACTTACTTGCCTTCCTGGTGGCAGCACTGTCGACAGTTGACGTTAACAGTGGTGTAAAATATAAATGTTTCATACCAGAATAATTCAAACGTGAAAAAGAAATTGAATTCTTATCATATTTCAAAATAATTCTATAGAAGTTGAATGATTGTTTTAGTTTACAAATTTTTCAACTTCAAGTCTTTCTATATCAACCATTTCATTGATTCATAAAAGGATGCTTGTGCCTTAACCTACAAAAGGGACTATGAGGTACCATGCTGTATATCTGTGAATCCTCCAATTCATCTTTGAAACAACTGAAACATTTTCACGAAACATGGTAATTTCAGGTTACAGGACAAAGAATATGTGCGTTGGAAGGGCCATTAAATTTGGACGTTAGGAGGCAGGCACTAAAATGATTAAGCGATGTGTCTCGAGATCTGTTCAGTGCTCACCAGATTCCAGAGATAGGGCACGAGCATTAGGGCTATCCCTGCAGGGACGTTTGACGACCCGACTCCAAGGTTTCGCACCACAGTTGGGAACAACTCCGCAGTGAACACCGGCGTCACGGCATTAGACGAGGACACGGAGAACTTGCCGGCCATTGCAAACATTATGGTTACCCACTCAAGGTCTGTATCACCTGAAAACAACCGCGGACTGGACATATTGTTCTGTTATCATCAATGCTTCCAGCGTCTAGCGTTTTCAATATTATGGGTTCTGAACACAAAATACACGTACATCAAGCGAAGACATGTAGGGATGGTCATATCCGTGTGACTCACCGTATGTTTCAACCCCAAAATTTAACTGCTTAAATTAATTGTGATATTTGGATATTATATTTCAGTATCCTGTTGCATTGGGGCACCATTCTAAATTGTAAAATTTTCCTTTTGTAATGCAACAAAGTCAGTCCTTTCTTAAAATACACTAAAAAGTGTTTGTTAATATTTTTAAATGTCATTAATTATGTACAGTCGTTGTTCTTGCAACATGTTTCGGCGGCACATGTGCCATCATCAGGCAACACTTATTATTTGGGGAGACCGCTGCACTGTACTCTTTGTCTTTGTACTCTCAGTCACGTTGTTGTTGTTGTCGTTGTCGTCGTCAGTTTACTTGGTAGGATATTTTCGTCCTACCTTATTTTAGCGGCCGTTTCAGTTTTCCCTTTCATTATGTCGTTCACTTTAGTTGTGTGTGTTTTAGTGCTGTTTATTCCTTGTTTTGATGTTTTCCATATGAGATCAGACGAAATTAATGTCGGTTCGTACTTGATCTTATATAAAGCATATAATTTACTTGAATTGCAAGTCGATGGCTGTATGCTATTAATTTTCTAGAAAATGTCTCATCATTGGTGCAAGACATCGAATAGAGACCATACTCTATTACTGTTAATAGATTCATCTACCCCGAAGATGGAGTTAATAGGTTCTATTTAAAGATGGTAACTATTTGGTACGCTACACGGTATGAGACAGTAATCTTTACAGGCACCACCGGGAAAACATACTATATATATATATATATTTATATAAATATATAATGATTGACATATGCATGATCTATCGTACCGTAGCGAAGGAGCATGCGCAGTGGCACTCTAGTTGACGTACCTGGTGGTATGGCGAGGGTTAGGAGACATGCCGCGCCACTGCCCATAAGTGTGAGGCACAAGGGCCACCGCCTCCCCTTCTTGAGCAGGAATAAGATGCTGATGGCAATAGCGGGCACCTCAACAACACCTGCACCAAAAAAAAAACGGTGTGAAATTAATGGATGTCTGCCTGTTTTCAGTCATCTTAAATTTTTATTTTAATTGTGGTAAACCTATTTAAACAGGTTATCTATTCCATTGTGTAAATCACTGTTCTTAATAATTTTCAGATTAAAGGACTCTATAAGAGCAATGGATTTTCTGAGATTTGTTTCTTAAAATAACATAACTACTGATCATATTAGTGCATTTTTTTTAAGGCGAGCAATGGAATTACAAATGTTTTTATAAAACATATAAGGAAGGCTATTCATATATAGGATGATTAATATCAAAACTCATCTCACAGAAATGTTAAATTCCGAGTTCTTATGGACATAGTGATGGACGTTTGAATTCAGTAAAATCAGTTTCTTGAACAGCTGAGCTGAACTAACCCACACCGTGATATCAGTTGTTTACTGTATAATATAAATATACACATTCAGGTATGTTAGTCATAATCAGATTTGTACATTATTATGTATACTGTATGATGTGGGAGTGACTGGGTCTTACACGTATCCTCAGGAAACCGCACTCCTGTTTTCTTAGTCCGTAATTCAGTGAAGACTGAAGTCAACAAAGCTCTAATCTGAAATGTAATTTGAATAGCTTACCAGACAGTACTGTGTTTATGTAAATGTCTCCACCAATGTTTCCCAGGTTCAGCACCAGGCCATAGTATACAAGATACACACTGAACCAGATGACATACAGGACCAAGGAATTCTTCCTCATTTTTGGAGTGCGGAAAAGATCCATGATACCGGCCTTAGGTTGATCAGCAGATTCCTTGCGGACCGTGGCCTAGGAAAAGTAAATCAGTGTTAGGTAATTCTTTTGCGGCATTCAGAACAAGCACATGGCGGTTTGTCATTTTGATAGCGATATCTAATGAACCACTGAAGCTAAGGAGAGTAAAAGGATAAAGCTATCCCTGTAACAGGCCTTGGAGGCCCATAGGGTTGTGAGACGTCGCGGTTCCCACATTTTCTAGAGTCCGTTCACAGATGGTGGTGAGGTTGTCAGCCTTACACGCCGGCCGCTCTTTACTCCCGGGAAGATTCCTGGTACTCATTTCTGTTAGAGGCTGAGTCGACCCCAGGGCCTTCCGTCTTTTAGCATAATGCCTCAACCAACTACGCTACCACGTGCCCCACTTTTACTCTAGGATTGTGTAATTATGTTTTTATATTGAAATGAACTGATAGTGAAGTTATGTAATGATTCGAGTGAAAACTATGAAATGTTAATAAATCATGCTATGATTAGGCGTGACCATAATTCTGCACTGAAGCATGATAGTAAGGTGAATCATCATTTTGAAACCGCGTCTTCACAAGGTTATTTTTTGTGTTCTATTTTCCTGTTTACAAGATATATATGAAGCATTCTCTAATTTTATTAACCAATGAAATATTCCTTCACTTGAAAAGTAGTAGGTTCTTAGTTGCATTCTAAGGCGTTTCGAACAAATTAATTTCAGTCATTTTAGTACCGTATAACTCTAGGATTAAGTGCCTTTATGATCATATTATTTATACTTGAATGTTTTTGATCCTTGTACAACTACATTGCGGTTTGCCGGTTCTTATTCGTGTTTCATATTTGGAAACACAAATCTTTTAAAATGAAATGTGTCTTTAAGAAAATGGTTTTGAGACTGTACACTCAGTTTATGCGGTTTGAGACGGGGTCTAGTTGCGCGCTGTTGTGAACACAATAATAAAAAAAACCGTAAGATTCCTGGAATTTCTTGTCAGTTTAAGAAAACCGTTAATTTCTCACCAACTAGCACCATATTTCAAATAATTGGTTTTGTCCTTACTTGGCGAAGTGTCTTGTCCAGACTTGGAGGCAGGGGGCGTTTATTGACACGTGCCGCTTCTTGTAGGATGATCATTACCTCATCTGTTCTGCCAACAGCCAACAGCCAGCGGGGAGATTCCGGTAGTACCCTGGAAACAGTTGACTATCATGCGCTGAGCATTGCTTGAGTTTTATTTAATAGACATGACGTTTCGGTAATGGAGCCATTTCCCGAAACATCATATATGAGCCAATCAACGTTGTAAGAACTTTTTCGTGCCAACTGGTTATAGTTACGTTTATCTTTGCTTACTCAGCTATAAGATTTTTAATGTGTCTTATAAAAATGAAGGTAAAATTATCCCTGTACTTAACTAAGCACTACGCCATGAAGGCGTATAGGGGAGTGGATGTATAGACCCACGTTTTCTTCATCTCGGCACTAGTTGGAGGTAAGTGGTCAGCTTCACGGCCAGGCCGCTTCACCCCCAGGGAAAGAGCCCCCGGTACGCATTAAATAGGAGGTTGGGTGGACCCCAGAGCCGGTCTGGACGACATGGAGAAGTGAAAATTCTTACCCCACCGGGACTCGAACTCCGACTCCTCTGTCGTCCAGCCAGTAGATAGTCGCTATACCGACTGCACTATTACGGCTCGTTAATGTATCTTATAGAAGGCAGAATCTGATTGATGAATTGTGAACGACGGGGAAGAAAGCCGTAGTGACCTATTTTAAGTTACTATACAACTATTCTTCTGTATCGTAATACTCGTATATGAGGAATACCACGAAGCATGCCAGTACAGTCAGCTTGCAGGCTGAATTAAGGCTACTAACCACAACATTATGTAAGATTTGAGGCTTTCACGGCGGTCACTATGAAGAAAGCAGTCTACTGGGATTTGGCACCGTGTATATGTGGTGTTAACCGACGTTTCGGAGGAACGTATCGCCCCCATCTTCAGGGTAGAAGAAAAAGTATAAGAATTCTGCAAGCGACAACACCGTGAGAAACGGTACGGCGATACGTTCCTCCGAAACGTCGGTTAACACCACATATACACGGTACCAAATCCCAGAAGACTGCTTTCTTCACAACCACAACATTGTTCTCGTGTGTTCGGGTGAAGTTTTGTCATTATTTCTGCATTGCAGGTGTTTTGTTGAAGTACCCTCAAGGCTGTCCAAAGGTACCTTAGGACGGAGCTATACATTTCCAATGTTATTTCAAGTTACATATATTTCTTATATGTTTAGTACTGTCAGAATTATCTTTCATGAACGATATATGATCTTATGAGTTCTAAAATACGTAATACCCTATTTATGCAGTTTCGGACTTTCTATCATCTTGTACAAACGTGTTCTATGCTTTTCGATAAGAGTTAATCATATGCTTAGCATTATTAAGTTTAACGTGGCTGTTATCGGTTAATCAGGGATTTTTTTTTAATTCGCTTATTGGGGGGTGGAGTCCAACTGGGTCCACCCGGCACGGTGGCCACTGATTGGCCTATTGTAGCCTGCCCCGGGTGATTATGATGATGGAGAATTTTTGGTGGAATGAAGATTGACAGGGGAAACCGAAGTACTCGGAGAAACCCCGCCCCAGCGCCACTTTGTCCACCACAAATACCACTTGATCGAACCCGGGCCGCCGCGGTGGGAAGCCAGCGACTAACCGCTTGAGCTATGGCGAGGCCCTGATCAGTGATTTAGTCATTAGTTCAATTACAAGTGCTCCCGGTTTGAGCGTCTTCAGTTCGCGGCTTTTGGAATTTTTACGAACATTCTCTGTTTATGGACTTCGGCTTCTCGAATTCCCCCCCCCCCTTTGTATGGGGGAGAACACACACAGAAGTTGCGGAAGACAGGAAATAACAGAAGGCTAGAGAAAATTACTTAGATAAGAACTACATAATTTCTAGTTACTCTTCACAAAATATAATAAGGTTACAAAATCAGGATCAATAAGATGGGCGGAGTATTTAGTGCTCCTGAATGAGGTTTGATCTGGAAAAATTAAAGGAAAAGATCGGCTGGGAGACCTAGGCATAGATGGATGTATTGTATTAAGATGGACCTACAGTAAGTAGGGTGCGAGGTCGACTCCATTTTCTGCCTCAGGATAGAGTCTAGTACTGGGCTCTTTTGAACATTGTAGCGTCTCCAGTTCCTGGTTTTATAAAAGGCAAGATATTCGTTGATCACTTGAGCGACTATCAGCTCCACAAAGTGATCGTTCCTCCATGCAGTTAGCAGATATTCAATAAACATGGAATCTTTATTGTTATAATATAACGTGGCTGCCGCGCGAAGTAATCTTACCACCAGAGTGCGAAGAGCAGTACGGAGGGGAGAGTGATGGCGAGCTGAAGCTGCGACCAACCCCTCACGAAGTAGGCGATGCCGGCTATCGCGATGTAACTCAGTGGCACGGGGAACAAGTAGGACACTCCGGATATCGTCCTCCATTTCCCTCCCACCAGCTCCATACCTACGTGCAGTGAAGCAAGGGTTAGTGACTGAACGGAGGTAAGACGGCAGGTGAATCCTCCATTGCACCAACCGTGGGATTCGAGTGTCATGAGGCTACGGACAGAAGTGAAGGACTCCTGTAAGTTCCTCCACTTACGTCGCGGGCATTCTTCATTATATTTCCCACTGAAACCTTCTTAATAAAGTCATAAATTATGAACAATCTTAATATTATTCATCCTGTTGTGTGTCATAAATATTGCTTTTTTATCGCTAGTGGGGTGGGACTAAGTCCCTTATACTGCGGCCACTTCTGGCCTATTGTACCAGCCCCAGAAGATAGGTAAGGGTAATTGTGGAGCAATTGGTGGAATGAAGATTGGCAGGGGAAACCGAAGTACTCGGAGAAAACCTGCCCCAGCGTCACTTTGTCCACCACAAATCCCACTTTGTCAGACCTGGGATCGAACCCGGGCCGCCACAGTGGCAAGCCAGCGACTGACCGCTTGAGCTATAGCACGCCCCTATGTCATAAATAAGATATATAAAGTATAGGATAAACTGTCTACACAACAACAATTAATATTCAAAACAAAGAAGACACTATTGCATCAACATTTGCTTTTATTATGTTTATTAAATACGAAACATATTTCGACCCTTTCACTGGTCATCATCAGGCGTACAATGCACCAGTCTGATCTGTTGTCATTTTATTTATCGAATAAGAATCCTTATTGTATCTTGAAATTAAATTCAGATGTCAATGTATAACAAATGTTGGGCGAAATTTGAAGCTAAAACCCTTAGATAAAAATTGTATTTAAAAATACAGAGGGAAAGTAAAGTAAACGAGTATGGCATCGAATGGAGAACAATGACAAGCAATCCTGAGGAAGGCCAGGGTCCACACAGGACTGTCATGTCAATGTTGTTGATGGTTGTTTGGTGGCTGAAACTGTCTTAGAATCACGTCGTCACTTTTGTATTCATGGTGTTCAACTTCTCGTTCCACTGCCAGGCAATAAGTTCTAAGACACTTACAAAACGGAAATACTTCTGTTCTACAGAGCAACACTAATGAAGGTGCTTCCATTCAAATTTGCTTTCAATGTAAGTTAACACGTGAAGCTTACACAAAACGAATCCGCTGAAGACAACGCCAACGGAGATGAAGCCGAGGCAACACCGCAGGACGAGGTAAAGCTCGAACCAGGGTGAGAAAGCCATGATTACGGCTAGACATATCTGCAGCACCAGTGAGCCCATCAGAGTCCTCTTGCGGCCGAACCTGAAACGTAAATTTATACTCTCAACTTTACGTTTCTGCCATATTTACGATGTAGGGTACTTATATAAACAGTAGAAATGTTGGCACGATCGCAACGAAAGCTGCCAAAAAGCAATCCTCGCCATTAATCTCTGTGTTTGTCTGCATGTATCAGTTCTAGAATCGCAGAACATACTTTCGTGAATGATTTAAGGTTCTCTCAGCGTTTATTACGAAGAGTTATTTCTGTCATCTTGAATATAGCGCCATACAGTCCTTTGAAACTTAACCGAAGTTTCATGGGAACATGTCGCCTTCATGTTCAGGGTCTAAGAATAAACCAGACAAGAAACCAGCATGAAATAAGGAGCGCCGGTTGACTTTCAACAAAATATACGGCTTTATATCCCAGAAATATAACTTTTCATATTTTAACGGATTTGATCAACGCGTTACCAGGCAACAACTCTATAAACACGGTCCAACACGCAACAATAGAGTAAGCTGTGTTTTCTGTAGATCCGACCGACGCGCCAATAGACTGGCTAGATAGCGATCACGTGATATGTGTTTACTGCAGGGTCATGTCCGTTCCGCGACTATATAAATAAGAGTGTCAGAATTCTTTCTAGGCAATTATAAGTAGTAGTAGTGGCAGAAGCAGGCGAACAAGCAAGCTGTAAGCTCGACGAGTACAGAAGAGTACAGGAAGTAGCCTGTGAAGATTTAACGTGTGGTTTGAAGACTCTGTGCATGGTGTAGTACAGTGGTATTTTGAATATGTGATTTAGGGAAACTTTTACAGTTACTGTGTTATAAATCCGTGAATATTAGTGCAGATCGACTAAAGAGATAGCGTGGAGTGTTTCGTAGTGTGAAAATCAGTATCAGTGTTATAATTATTTGTAGTTATGACTGTAAATGGTCAATAAATCCGATTACCAATCCGAACCCCGTCTTTAGTCACCCCTACAAGTGACAATATTTTCGTGAAATTTGATACTGAGAAGTTTTACTAAATCTTGTCGACGCATTCCAGTTTTTCTTAAAATCGGACAAAAGCGACGGGAATGTTTTGTGACGACGTAGGGTAGACGCGTTTCTGGGCGAATCTGGAGAGAGATCGCTAGTAAAGCGCTGGGTGTGCTGTATAGCGGAGAGAAGGGAGTTTAGAATAAGTGTATCGAAGAAAAATGAAATACGTACTTTAATTTCAATATATTTTTCCCCGTAAATTTCACGGTTCTCGAAATAATTAAAGAAAAATAATTATTATACAGTGTCAACTCCAGAACGGGTGGACTGATTTTGATCAAATTTTATATTTGAGGTACCAGTAGAAGCCACCTATGAACACGATAATAATTTTTAGGATCCCATAAAAGGCGGAAAATATTTTGTCTAGCTAAGCGATTATTAGCTTTTCTAGAAGGACTACGATCCATAGAGTTCGGTGTTTGCTTTTATCACTGTTGGTTGCTGTTTCTTCCTGCATGTATATATCCGGTTGCACAGATGTTACTTAAGCGTACACGTGATGGAGACACTGATAGCCTGTACTGCAAAGATAAGATTTGAAAACAGACTGAAGTGTATGTTTCTTTCCTTAAATCTTACAGAATGTGGGTAGCGTGGCCGAGCGGTCTAAGGCGCTGGTTTAAGGCACCAGTCTCTTCGGAGGCGTGGGTTCGAATCCCACCGCTGCCATCTATTTTTAGTTTATAAAAAGAATTTTTGTTTCCTCCGCTATCAGATCTTTTTCAAAGGCAGTTTTACCCAGTCCTGCTTGTCTAAGATCCATTTCAAGATTATCTTTATAAATCTACGTAAGTCTTGCAAGTGGTCTTTTCCATTCAAGTTTTCCGGTTAAACTTAAGTTGGAATTCACTGAAGTTTCTTTATGCATTTCTTTCATACATACTCCGATTTAGGTCCAGATATTTTCCAGAACAGCTCCCTCTCGAGAAATAAGTTTGTGACACTTTAATGAGCACGTGAAATAAGTTACCCAGAGTAAAGAGACTAAATGTTGAGGTTGAGTTTGTTTTCTACTTCCCTCTGAGTCAATTGTGGGTGCTGGTGTCTCGTGAGTAACGGCAGCGCGCGAGGTACGAGTATGTATTATCTTGAAGGATCTTACGAAAGCAACGAATTCTATCAGCATTGATGGGATTCAGATATGGTAAAAGCTAAATAAAAAGCTATCCCTGTAACACGCCGTGAAGGTCCATATGGTTGTGAGACTCGAGGCACACATTTTCTCTAGACACTCGACTCACAGATGGCGGTAAGGTTGTCAGCCCTACGCGCCGGCCGCCAGTTACCCCCAGAAAGTTTCCTGGTACTCATTTCTGTTAGAGGCTGAGTCGACCCCAGAGGCATAATGCGGTTAAAAAGTTAGCTAAATTGAAGAAAAAAAAATCCACCTCATCTGTGCTCGAACCCGCGACCTTCCAGCTTGTGGTATAGTGCCTCAACTAACTACGTTATCGCCTTCCAAATACAAGAAATGACCACTGACTAACACACGACTATGCTGAGTAATTTACATAATGGTTTGAGAAATTACGAATATAAATAAGCAATTAAAGGGCTTTTATGTTTCGACAGCATAATCGTACAGTAGTTACACTTATGTGATAATTTTCTTTGCGATCGCCCTGATTTTCAGCCCATTTGTTCATCGTCTACATGTTTCCTTTATTACACCAGAATAACATGTTTTCGGGTGGGTCTTTGTCGGCTTATTTTCGTGAATGACACACCATTTCAGGTGTAATTTCATCATCGGTCATTCTTCGGCTATCCCGAATATGCTGACATGCATAGGGCTTTTGTATATAAGAACGCTGTAAATTTGTGAATATCTACCAATAACAAGAACGAAGATATCCAATAAAGGAAGGGCTCATTTCCTCGTCAGAGAAGACACCCCATGGCTACTATTTCATGGTCTTGAGACTCAAAATATGGTCATGATCCACAAAAGGAGTTCAAAGTCAAGACGGGGTGACTGAGACACCGTCAGCCATAGAATAACTGACCTTGAACGCTCGGCTGACTTCTTCCCATCAGATGGAGGCAGGATTTTCGTCCGACACTCACGTTAAATTCAACCACACTACAAGTTGTTACACCCCAGAGGACAGTAATTTTCAAAAGTAGGAAATTTTTGGAACATATAAAAATATTACATAGCTGTTTTGATTCAAATAATGCCTGGACTTTATGGTTTGTTCCATAAAGTTCATCTGAAACACAGAGACATGTCGATTGAAATGAATGCCACTAATCCTTACCTTACTTTTGTAAATCCCGGTCATAGGAGGAAATAATTGGACTTAAATAAGTCTATAGAAATCCAGGAACACTCAGGAAGGGATGTGGGAAGTGTCCTTGTGAGACACAGGTAAAATGACGGGCAAGAAGGAGCGTGTGTGAGACCGACTGTAAAACATGCAGACTTTGTTTTTACTACCTGTCGGACACCATGCCGGAAACCAGACCTCCGGCCGCCACTCCGGCCAGGAACATCATCTCCGCTACATTCACGAGTTGTGCTCTGTCGCATACCAGTTGCCACTGCAACAAATTATACAATTCATTGTTCATTTCTTGCCCATACAAATCTTATAGTGAGGCAAAAATAAAGTTGTCCCTGTGTTAACTAATTAAGCACTATGCCGTGAAGGCGTATGGGGGAGTGGATGTGTATATCCACGTTTTCTTCACCTCGGCACTAGCTGAAGGTGAGTGGTCAGATTCACGCCCCGGCCGCTTTACCTCCGAGGAAAGATCCCCCGGTACCCATGGGATAGTATGTTGGGTGGACCCCAGAGTCGGTCTAGACGTCATGGAGAAGAGAAAATTTTTGACACTACCGGGACTCGAAATCCGACCCTCAGTCGTCCAGCCCGTAGCCAGTCGCTATACTGACTGAGCTATCCCGGCTCCCCTTATAGTGAGACGATCAAAATGTATTTCTTACTGTCGCAAATTATGTGCAGGAAACCTCTATGAAACAAACTGAAATCCTTTTTTTCAACATCTTTATGGTTGCTGTGTTATCAGTCATATGACACAATATTAAGCTAAGGAATTTGATCTTACGCTCTGTTAGAAGAACACAGACTAAGGTGTTTGAGAATGCCGTGCCGAAGAGAGTATTTGGATCTAAGAAGTAACAGGAGAAATATAACCTTCGATTGTTGATTGTAATGACGTTAGTTGAAGAGTACAACTTATGAATTATTTCATTGTGACATTTTCTCCATCTTCCTCTTCCATTCTCTCTCTGTGTTTCAGATATCCTCCACAGTTCTTTGTACTCAAAGGCCTTAAATCTATGTTCATCCAAGAAGTAAAATGGCTACGTTTTCATCCATGCAAAACAACAGATAAAACTACAGTTTTGTATATTTTAATATTTATATTTTAAGACAAGATATGAGATGGATCATGAACTGATTGACAGTAATCATTTCCTGTCTTTTATGTGCCATTAATTTCTTCGTGAATGTAATTTTGATCCGAATTGTCGCAGAATACTTTTATTCGCTGCGTTTTCTGAAGATTTGTTGCCTATCTTACGCTGTATTTTGTTTTCCTCCATTCCAATGACATATGAAGACATATAGACATGTGATCCTACTTACTTTCTCCATATTATGGATTCACAATTTCGCAAAATGGGTTTAAGGAGGTGAGGTGTAACAGCGGTATTTTCAGACTTCCTATTGAGGATGCGTACAGAGTTATTCATGCGCCCCGGTAAATACTCGTATACATGTAATAACATTTGTTATAGTGCTGCATGGTATTATAGTAACATAGTGCGCCGACGGGCACAGCACATATCGGTTGCAGGTAGTACTGATTCCGCCGGTAGGTGGATCTGCCAGCAATAGTCTCTTTGTCGTCAGTTATCGTCATTTTCATGAAAATGTTTTTTTAGAAATGCTTCTTGAAACATCTATTTTCTTCAGTGTTTGATGTTATGATGTTGGATAGTGGGTACTCCAAGCTTAGCTCCTAACATGAATACCTTCTTAATTATCTGACTCATAATCTGGTAGTAGTTCTTGAATGTAAAACACTGCTGATTGGGTCTACCAACCCGCGTCGAGACACTTTCATCCACCTCCCATGCTTACAACTCACATTCTAAGATATATGTTCCGAAACTGGGTCCAAGAGACGCCGAGCTTACGTTGTCCTCTAAACTCCTGCGTTCAATCGCTGCAGATACAAAGGAATACATTCACTGCGCTTGTGGCCTTCGTCACAATTAAAAGTTCAGTGTCATGTGAGTACAAAATGCAAAAACCAGAGACATGATTATTTCATCATTGACCCAGAAACAATATCTGTGAACAGCTAAGAGCGAACTCTTACCTTCTGATATCAAACGGGGTATGTGAAATTGTGTCCAATTTATACGGTATGTTGTGTGAAACAGAAATCTGGCAATCGAACAGCTGGGATGAGCAGTTACTATTCGTGCCTCGCATTTCTGAAATCCAGATTTGGAATCTCGATCCCTAAACCGGCTATTCTGAATGAAACGGGTCGTGGATACGAAATGGGTCCTGGAAGTAGAGCAGACTGTTTGTCGCGGCTTATGCAACAGAAAATTCAGAAATTTAATTGTGAAAGCCTGGAGGAAAGAGACCACTTCACAAACGTATTCGTGGAGAGAAGGGAAATACTGAAGTGGATCTTAAGTAAGAAAAGTGTAAAATATGGATTGAAATCACAAGACTCTGCCGGGCTGTTATGAACACAATAATGATCCTTCGCGTGTCATAGGAGGCGAGGAACGTGTTAACTCTCTGAGCAACTACCAGCTTCTCAAGAACATCTCTGTTCCATGGAGTTCATATAAGTTATTAATCCTATAACTTGAAATGGGATTGATTCTGTAGTTTATATATAATTCGATTTGAGCTTCATATAAAGCAGGTTTATGTTAAACAGAAAAGAACCAGCTGGATTTCGACGTAGAGCTTCTAATCCAAACTTCATCGAATACCAGTCAGTAATTTCGAAGAAGAAATGCGGACAACAAACATTACCTCCGGTTTATACATTTCTTTTACGCCCATCAGTTCAATGTGAAGACCTCACCTTCTCAGTGATGGTTTCTCCAGACTCGGTGCTGTCAAACTGCCATTGGGTGCAAGCCCTGCTAGAGTTGTTGTGTCCAGAGAATGTAGCTGCTGAGTAATCCACATCCCAGATATGGCAGGGATTGTAGCTGTCCTTGCCGTCCTTAGGAGAAACAAACATATGGCAGGATAACGCTTGCTGGGAGTTCTCATTTTGTAAAGGACTCGACATATTATGTAACTGCTCATGTGTAACATGCTTTCAGTTTAGTTTAAGCCGTTTAGGCCGGTTCCTATCCTTCAGATCTGTTTCAGAACAGAAGCTGAGGAAGCCGTTCAGTGCAACAAATTAAATAAAACAGAAAGGTGAAGATGTCACATAAATATTCTCAAGAAGTTATTTGGACCCGAGAGAGGAGGCATTAGAGAAAGCTACATACTGAAAAGAAGAAGTACTTGGTAATACATTCAACAAATTTTATTATTGTGTTCATATCAGTTGGTCTCTGAGTTCCTGCTCGGTATATCAGAGACTTTGCATTCTTCACTGTTTGCTCTTCATGCAAAAATTGTCCCTCTGCTAGACGTGTATTAGCTGCTAATATTGTCTGCAGGGACGTTGACATATTCGGGGCAAGGAACGTTCTCCTCAATCGTCTTTTATAATATTATTAATCACTACTATTTGCAGGAACATAAACTAGGATTAAACTGAATTATTATTATTATTTCTAAATATGTATACTTCACATTTCTCAATTGTCAATAGTAACTTAGATTTGTGATAATGAAATTATTATTATTATTATTATTATTATTATTATTATTATTAGTAGTAGTAGTAGTAGTAGTAGTAGTAGTAGTAGTAGTAGTAGTAGTAGTAGTAGTAGTAGTAGTAGTAGTAGTAGTAGTAGTAGTAGTAGTATTTTGTTTGTTTCCTTATATGCATTAATGTGGTTTTCCTAAAATGCTTACCTTTAATTAGTCTTTGACTTTATGTTGTGTTTGTCCAGTATGTGACTACTTTTATCTACACCGTACTGTGTCTGTAATTGGCCTTGTGGCTGTTGGATCAGCACATAGATAATAAAGAACTGAATTGAAATCAAGGATGATAAAAAGGGCGTGATTCGTGTCACTCGTGGATGTTGCTATATAGCTGCGGTTGTAGTCAGAGTAATTCAGGAGCAGAGAGCAGAGAGATATTACCTTTGTGCTTAATATATGAGAGATGTTTCTCCACTCGTCCACCGAAATGTTCGCGAGGTGAGGTTTCGCGCACCAGAAATCTGACGGGAGGGACTGGAACGTGAGGGCGAATATATGCCACGTGCAGGGAATGTTGAAGAGCGACAAGAAGAATGTAAGTTGAAGCTGCCACCGCCCATACTCGCCCACAGCCTGAGAAATAGGGTCCTCCGTCTCTCCTTCATCTCTCTTGGGTTTTACGGACGCGTGTTTCGGCTCAGGGCCGCTAGGTGTCGTGTCGGCCATTGAGTCTGTAGAAAAAGTAAATATGTTATCAGCACTATAGGTTTATTCACATTACAGAAAATGATCTACGTGGGAAAGAAGATTTGGACTATTAGTTAAACTTCTCCGTGCTGAATTGTGATAAAAACAGATATATATTCTTGCAATGGTTTGTTTGTATACTTGAGATTACAAAATGGTGGCAAAACAGTTTTTTACTTAACGTTAAATCTCCAAATAATTCAAATCAGAAAAAAAATGCCTTTTGCAGTGCATATTACGTCATTCATAGAATGGGAATCGTTAGTTAGGTCTGCGTGTTTTTGGTTTTTATATTTATTTTGTTTTGTTTTAGAATGAGATGTGAAAATATCCAGTAATTATTATTGTATGAAGTTTATTTCACTATTTAGCCAACTTTCAATACGAGGATAGATGGTCTTATGGTAGAGTCTTGTCCATTTGTCTGTTGGGTTTTAGAACCAAGAGACAGTGCCATTGAATTTTGTGTGAATATCATACCAATAGAGGCCATCCTACGTTTTAAATTTTAATATGGTACAATCAATAACTTCATAGTATTATGACTGCCTTTAAAATTTTTCAAATGGAAGTGACACAAATCCCACTTAATGTAGAGTCCTTACATTTTGTGTGATAAATCTTCGAAATGTATTCAACTGCTATTGTGACTATTCTGCAAAACATAAACAGCAATATGGCGGACGCGAGAAATCTGCATTCAGCTATAACAACGGCCATAGCTAATGAACCATTGAAGCCAGATACAACTACAGATTCTGCGTTAGACACTACTGAACAAAGAAGCGATGGTGCTTAACTCTATAGATATAACTTAAAGCTTTAAAGAATGAAATTCTTCAAATAATGTATACAGTATCAACAATGCCGTCTTCTGGTATGTGGCGCGTGTAGATCTTGTGTGAACCGACGTTTCGAAGGAAAGTATCGCCTCCATCTTCAGGGTAAAAAATCCGCAAACAAGGAACCAGCTTGAGCAGGTGACTGCAGTGTATGAGTGACTGTCGATCACAGTGACCGCGCGGTCTAAGGCATGAATTGTCTTCGATTACTCCAACGGTGGGATCAAGGGTTCGAATCCTACTCAAGGCATGGTTATCTGTATGCGTTTATTCTCCATTTGTGTTGTTCTGTGTGTAGGTAGCGGCCTTACGACTGGCTGATCCCCGTCGAAAAGATCCTACCGGTTGTGTATAGAGTTAAGAAACTGAAAAGAGGCAAAGATCCGAGAAAAGGACTGTAGAGCCATAGACAGATGGATGGATAGTATGAGTGACTATTGACGGGATTTGGATTGAATCTTTGGATTTATTGTACTTATTCTTTCAACTCATAATTACAGGAAATACAACGCTTCCGCGAATTTCCGCACTTTACGCTTCACCGCTACACACGCACTAAGGTTCTGAGTCTTCAGTAGTCTTATCCTGGCAACGGAGTTCAACACAGTAGTTACTCGTATACTAGTCTCACTGTAAGTGCAACACCTTATGAATAATGCTCAGATTTGCAGTATTGGTAGTTGCCTGTTCGTTGAGGTTCAGCTGCCTCATCTTGGCTAACCTTGATATGGTAACCACGAATGAAGCTTAGGAGTAGTCAGAAATCGGTTAATAATTTTTACCCCAATCAAACTTTTAAAATCTTAGAGAGATAAGATGATGTGGTATTGAGTGGATTCATCTGGCTCAGGATAGGGACCAGTGGATCGATCTTTTTTTAACACGACAATGAACCTTCTGTTTCTATAAAATATTGGGAAATTCTTGAGTAGCTGAATGACTGGCGGTTTCCCAAGAAGAACTCAGCTCCATGGAATTAGTTAGTTAGTCAAATTCTTTAAAGTGAAACAAAGTTGAGGTTACACCAAGTTTGAGTAGATCAGTTGTGTGTGGCAAGGATCAAACGATATACATTCCACACAGGAACTTACTAACATTTGGCTGCAATACAAACTTTGCTGCTCGGAACTGCGTTTATTTTAACAATAGGATTCCCACCCATGAACCTCAAGGAACATAATGTTTTTTTTTTCTTTTTTTCCCCCAGAAACGTGTATGGGTTGCTGAGAAGTTCCAGTCCTCTGCGCCGAAACTTAAGATAAAGAATACCTCGAATGTTCAGACCTTATGAAACGTATTTGTAAAATATTGCATCTTATATTCATGCAATCTAAATAAACTCGTACTTCTCATTACCTGATAGTCATTCCAGAAAGCAACTCTGAGACAAGTACAGCGTCTGGGACGGGAAAGAAAATCTATCTCTCTATCTATCCATCCATGCATCTTATCTATATATGACTCTACAGCCCTTGTGGTCCTTGACCGCCTTTTCAGTTTCTTTATCTACACAGTTGGTAGTACCCCTTGGATGTGGTATCAGCCCATTCAAGGCCGCTACCTACACACAGAACAACACAACGACAAAATAAACGCACACAGACATCCATGCTTCGGCTTGGATTTGAACCCAACATCCCAGCGTTCGAGAGGGCGAAGATGGTTCATATGTAAGACGGCGCGGCCACTATGATCGGCGAAAGAAAATTTTACTCGCTGCTTATTAAGACAGAAAGGAAAGAAGGAAAAGCTTGGGCGCAGAACTAAAATCTTATAAGTACCAACGAAAAATCTGTCACATCATACTGCTCTGTCCTGCGAGTTCCTACTCTCGTTGCCGATAAGGAGAAATACCGAAACTGGGTTCGCTGATCGGATTGGTGAAACTTTTCACATGGAACATACTGTTACTTTAAATTTGCAAAATCATAGCTTCATCCCAGCATACCCTATGATCCTCTTCATAAGCATTTTAGGCTAATTTTGATTTTTCTAAAAGACCTTTGAGACTGACACTATGTTGACGGAGCCGCACGGCTAGAGGTCTGTCAGTCTCGCCAATGTAGCTTCCGCCACATCCGGAAGGGACTGCTGTACATTCACTGTGATGTCTGTTGTGGATCTCTTTCCGGCCTGGTTTACATGAGCGAAAACATAAGTGTGTGTTTAGTTTTGAAGATCGTCCTAATGTTGTGTCTATTCCCTATAAGATTAAACCGTTCTGAAATACCCTTCACACAGGGGATACACAGAGGACTCAGAGGTGTTTCGTAATAGTTCGGACGACTGCTACCCTTGGAATTAATAACTGAGTGAATGAAACCTTGGGGATAATCACTGAGCTGAAGATCGTGTCTCAGGTTATATAGCTGTAGTTATGCTGACGTGGATTATCCAGTGACAGGTTAGCTCTTTCTATCGGAGCCAACAGAGTAGGTGTCTCCCACTCCTAACCTGAAGACGGAAACAGATCCAGTTTCCGAAACGTTGTATTATTCTTGTCATTTAGAATACAGAACGATTGACACAGTCCAAAAACCCAGCAATCCCGGGGGAAAATAGTAGCGAAATAAAGATTGAAGGATTTTGGAGTCAATAATAGACCCGAATTTTATTTTCACTCACTAATGGAGCTGAGCCCTTCTTGAGAAGCCGCCAATTGTGCAGCTACTCAAGAATTTATCAGCATTTTATGGAAACAGAAAGTTCATTACCGTGTTCACAAGAGGCCTCAACTGGTCCCTATCCTGAGCCAGATCAATCAAATCCATACCATCCCATCCTATCTCTCTAATTTCCATTCTAATGTTGTCCACCCACCTACGCTTTGGTCTTCCCAGTGGTCTCTTTTACGAGAGAATAATTATTCTTTTGCGATTTTGAAACTCAATGAAGTTGTAATTTCAATTAAAGGCTTAACGAATGTTGCAGTGGCTTATTGCATAGACAGGTCTAAGAATTGTCGGAACATTGAAGTTTACATACCAAAACTGGAACATTTACTGTTTCCCTGGCAACTGACAGATGCTGAATCTCTTGTGACGTCCTTTTTTTTTTCCAATGTAGCTCTAGAATTGTGAACAACACTGCCACACTAGCGGATGTCTGTAGAAACACTAAGCGTGGGGCAATGCAACACACGTGCCACAAAACCGCTTCACTATTTAGATTCAAGCAAATGGTTTTACATATGTTAATCTTAATTTCGACCGGTCGCATTACAGGCCAGGAAACAGGAGATCTATTCTCACACTGATTAATATTCACGCTCCCAGCGTCAGAATATTTACTGTTGATATTATGAAGTCGAAACGTTCTGTCTTGAAGATTATCTCTGCTGCGTCGTGACGTCCTTATAGTCTAGTAGATATTTACCTATTTCCCAGACTCATCTACCTTGCAAATGGAAGCAGCACGTTCCTCCGAAACGTCAGTAAGTACATACAAGACTATACAGAGCGTTACATCCCAGAAGTGCCATGCCATAGCTCAGGCGGTTAGTCGCCAGCTCCCACCGCGGCGGCCCGATTGCGAACCGAGGTCAGGTCATGTTGGATTTATAGTGGACAAAGTGGCACTGCGGTAGATTTCCTCCGAGTACTTCAGTTTCCCCTGCCAACTCTCATTCCACCGACTGCTCCACATTCATGATCATCTATCATCTCGGACTGGTACAGTAGGCCAGTTAGTGGCCGACGTACCAAGTGGACTCAGTCTCACCCCGCCACAAGAAACTAAAATAAACCTAAAAGAACTACCTTGCAGAAGACAGTAACGAGAGAACCTCAGATCCCGTATGGCTTATCCGACATTTCACTCATTCACTCATCAGTGGTCCTAAAGCCCTTTGATGGGCCCTGGTTTCTTCATCAGTTTCATAATCTTTTTTACACAGTCGGTAGGACTCTTGGACGGGTGATCAGCCATTCGCAAAGCCTCCACCTACGCACAGGACAACACATACACTGAATAAACGCACACAGACATCCTTGCCTTGAGTGGGATTCGAACCCATTATCGCAGCGTTCGAGCGAGTGAAGACAGTTCATGTCTTAGACCGCACGGCCACTGTAATCAGCTATCCGACGTTCATAAAATTATATTATTGGACTTATTACTATTATAATTTACAGTGAAAAAATTTCAGTACAGGCCACAAATTAAGGCCAATATAGCTTACCCACACAATTTATCGCAGAAATACTTTTATAAGCAAGACTTTCGAAATTCTTGTAGCTTCAGCAGTTACGCTTGTACTGGCACTATCATTTCCTTGCGATTGCCGCTTCCCGGACACAGAAAGCTGTCGACCTTTCTTCTAAACACGCACCTAACTGCATACTTTGGAAGTAAAGAACTGGAAAAGAGCCTATTTCAAACACTGTATATTATCAGCACGCTAAATCAGAAAAACCTGAAAAAGGGACTTATGGCATGCAGAAATGTCCTAGGGAAGATAAGTCGTGGCTCAGCTGGTCTGGATATTCCTCGCTTTTACGGAACCTATGGCTCATTACCCGGTTCATAACACCCCGTCACTGAACCCATCAATGGTAAGAATAAAGTTAGCCGTGTACTTAATTATGCAACTAAACAATATGCCATGAAGGTATGGGGGGGTGGAGGCATAGCTCCACCATTCTTAACCCTGGCACTAGATAGAAGACAGTGGTTAGTTTCACGTCCCTGTCGCTTTACTCTCGGAGCTAAGGCCCTCGGCACCCATTGGATATGAGGCTGGGTAAGCACCAGAGCCCGTCTAGACCATATGGAGACGATAATACTGTCCTTCCCCTGTCGGGAATCGAACCCCAGTTGTCCACCTTGTAGCCTAGTCGCTATACCGACTGAGCTATCCTGTGGTAAACAAGGACAACCATATCTGATCAGTTTGTTCACGTATTGCTAATGTTGTAACCTGAAAGAAATACGGTGTAGAGATATGAATTCATTTAAATTGACCCAGAATAGAGTTCAAGGGGCACGCAGTAGTGTAGTTGGTTGAGGTATTATGCTACAAGTCGGAAGGTCGCGGGTTCGATTCCCGATGAGGTCACTTGATTTTTCAATTGACCTAATCCTTCCAGCAGCACTATGGACCTGGAGTCGTCGACTCAGCCTCTAACAGAAATGAGTACCAGAAATCTTCATGGGGGTAAACAAACTCACCGCCTTCTGTGAACTTAGTGCCTAGGGAAAATGTGGGAGCCTCGACGTCTCAGAATCCTATGGGCCTCCACGGCCTGTTACGGGGATAACTTTACTTTTTTATTTGGATAGATTTCAGTGATTCGCTGTTGAAGGCACAACAATGAAAATTTTGATTCCATAGAAGTCAGAACATTTTTTGATTAGCTGTGAGACCATCAGCGTTTGAAGAACACCCTGCACCATAGCGCCGTATAATCCAACTATGTGCATGTAGACCTATATAATAGACGACATTTTCTAGCCGATCAGATTACCACAGCTCATAAAGTAGGTCAGTGTACCTCGCTGTTCCTACCAGTTCTGATCCTAGCAGCTACGCCGCAGGGAACAGATCTAGCTGCTGTAGTTTTTGCATTCATAATTTCTACTGTCCTTCATCTTAGTGTCTTGCATAATATCAGCACTGCTGAGCACATGCAGTGTCGCTAATGTTCTAGACTCATATTGGTAAGCGACGGTCTTGACAGTGGATTCACGACAGGGGCAACGGATTTTTCTGTACTTTGCACGGCCGAGATCGGTTCTGGGGAACACGCACCGTCATATACAATGTGTACTGGGTGCTCTTTCCTCGGAGGGCAAAGCGGCCGCCGCGTGAAACTGACCATTCACCTCCATCTAATGCCGAGGTCAAGAATTGAGCTATACCTCCACTCCCCCACACGTCTTCATGGCTTAGTGCTTAATTGATTAAGCGCAGGAACAATTTTCTTTCGAATTTACCGTAGTCCTATATGGTAAAAAGGTGAATTAAGCACTACGCCATGAAGGCGTATGGGGGATTGAATGTATACATCCACATTTTCTTTACCTCGGCAGTAGTTAGAGGTGAGTTGTCAGCTTCACACCCCTGCCACTTTACCCCCAGGGAAAGAGCCCACGGTACCCATTTAATACGCGGTTGGGTGCGCCCCAGAGCCGATTTGGACGACGTGGAGAAGAGGAAATTCTTGACCCTACCGGGACTCGAACTCCGACCCCTTGGTCGTCCAGCCCGTAGCCAGTCGCTATACCGACTGCCCTAATCCGGCTCCTGGTCTTATGTGGCCTCCATTATAATATCAATTTTATCAGAAAATATTCGTAACAGTGAATAAAGTACGAATATAAAGATGGGGCGGGATCTGTCAGTCAGTACGGTGACTTGGAGGCCGTTATTCTGTGTTCGATAAGTTCAGAACTTTCTATCTTCACCTTCAAGTCCAGACCGACTCTGAGGCCCGCCGAACCTGTTCCGCAATGGACACCGGAAGCACTGATACAGCGGGTAAAATGACTGACTTCCGTCTAAAACCTGCTCACAGCACTTGTGAAGTATTTTCTCCATTGCCTAGGTCTTAAAATGGTGACGCTTTTTTTTATTGCTAGTGGAGTGGGACTAAGTCCCTTGCACTACGGCCACTTCTGGCCTATTGTACCAGCCCCAGATGATGTGTGAGGGTGATTGTGGAGCAATTGGTGGAATGAAGATTGGCAGGGGAAACCGAAGCACTCGGAGAAAACCTGCCCCAGCGCCACTTTGTCCACCACAAATCTCACTTGACCGACCCGGGATCGAACCCAGACCGCCGCTGTGGGAAACCAGTGACTAACAACTTGAGCAATAGCGCGGCCATGGTGACGCTTAAACATCTTTACCAAAATTCGAAACCGGTCTTGTACCGTTACAAGTGATGTTCCTTAACTCCGAGAGCTGTAATTATTTGTTAAACACCGTGTGGAGAAGGGGGGATGGAAAAGGCTGAGTTCAAGGGCGGAGGAACAGAGTAATACAGGAGAAACAGTCAGAATTCCCAACTCCTACTACCTCACCTCGTTCAAATACCTAATAACTATGTAGATGTAGCTCAGGCTCCGTGGTGTTGTGCTGTGCTGTATGTAACTTCTTGGTGCTCTTAGCAGAAATTGATTTAAATCTTAACTAATGTGCAAGTTGTATAGAAGAAGGCCATGAACTTTTAACTACGATGTTATAGACGATTCAAAACGCACGTCAAACAAAATGAAACCTGGGGAAACATGGAACTGTGTGGCTCAGTGCCCTTGGCAGGGTCAGTGCCATTAAATAAAGAAACTAACATATAAACACTACGTGTTAATGTGTGACTGTCCCCGAGAAGTGAATGTCACAAGGATCCAGAAAATAGCTGTGAGATGCTTTTCGTCAGATCGGAAGAGCAGCGACCTGGCTTCTTCTGAAGTAAGTAATTGTGGTTAAATTAGCGTACAGTAGTTTCAGTCCAGATGTTTCGAAACTGTGGCACAGTTCAGATATTTGTGAACAACGATAACAGTTCGAAACCTGATTCAGGAGGAAATTAAGAGGCGATTGAACTCGGGTAACGCTTGTTACCATTCAGTCCAGAACCTTTTCTCTTCTCGTCTGTTGTCCAAAAACATAAAAATTAGAATATACAAAACTATAATTTTGCCTGTGGTTCTGTGTAGGTGTGAAACTTAGTCTCTGACATTAAGGGAGGAACATA